AATTATTTTTTGTTCATTTCTCCAAATAAGTAACAGCATCTAATAAAATTAAATAATATCTTCTCAAAATTCAAATACCTCATGCTGTGACATGTCTCCACTCTCCAAGTTTTTCTAGTTCTTTTTTAACATTTACTAGAATAAAGTTACCTTCTGTCTAACTCAATACTGAAGCCTTCAGAGCATCTGTTAAAGCAATTACATCAAATACAGATGCACACTGATTTTCAGTTGTTGTAATAACTTTATGAAATATTGAAGTCTGAGCATTAATAAAATGTAGCTAAACTTCTGCCGCTGGATTTTCAAAGAATTTTAAAAAAAGAATGGAACACTTTTCTTGAGAATGAAAATAAGCCTTCAGTGGTCAGTACCCTTTCAATGGCAGGAAGTAATACTAACCATCTTGTGAGCAAATATCATAGTATCATTGAAAAATCGGTTTCTACTCTAAGACTACAAGATTTAAAGCATATCTTAAAAATAGTAATTGCTATTATCAACTGGCAAAACATCAACTAATGTTCTTATAGTGATATAGATACTGTGTGCTACACATCGAACTCCAAGTAAACCATGGTTAAGGTTTTGTTTCAGTTTAATAAAAACATTTTCTCTACATGTATCAACTCCTCCAAAGTTAGAATTAGTATTATCGGCACAAAGACCAATAACTCTTCCTTTAAGAGAGTTTCAAGATATAATTAACAAGGTAGTTTAACAGTTGCTGACAATATTGGATGTTTAACCATGTAAAGATTTAAATTCTAAAATGTTAACTCCAACTCCATTAACTCCAAATCTATAACTCTGACAAGTACTGGGGGAAAAAAATTATTCCCTCATCATTAGATGCATTAGTTAAAACTGAAACAAATGAACACTATTCTAAATCACTGTGAAAAGCTCTTCAAGCGTAAGATATGAAAACATTTAGTATTATTGCTTCGGCCTTCGTTCGCACACATGTAAATTTAGGCTCAAATGCCACTTGAAGCAGCTTGGACATAAAATCCACAGACCTAAAGCTACAGTCGTTGCAAATAATATTGTATGCAAAAGTACCTTCTACTGCAGCTAGTTATTCTTCCTTATCACCCATTTACTCCTGCCCGAAGAAATTCTTTGATGACAAGTCTCACTAGATGCAAAGAATAAGTTTTGTATTATTTTCCTTTATCCATTAAGGATTAATGGAAGGCACTAACTTACTTTAATAAACAGAGATAACTTTTAAGGGTGACAAGTTAGTTGCAAATAATTAAATAAGCTAGTTAGCTACCCTTAATCATTATAGAAGGCCACTATTAAATTTATTTAAAAAAATATTTGTTAGCACTGTTAAAAATCACTATCCGTTAGAAGCACTGTTAAAAATCACTATCCATTAACACGTAAAAGTTTAAAATACATATAATTTTTGACATTGATTCTTAAACGATGTTAAGATAACTATACATTAAAAGATACAAACCATTTACATTCTGTAGTAACAATACTCAACAAAATATTTGTGCATCTTTTTAATTTGAAGCCTTTCCAGACAGTCTGGCTAATTTATATCAGTTTCCTTTTCTTTAAGCAGCTTTTTTAACGATTAGAAATATGTTTCAACATGCAAACCAATATCCCCAATTATTTCTGCACGTTTTATATCCTAAACTGTCAATCTCTCGACTATGTACCTATGAGGTTTTACTTGATCTGATAAAAGTTAAATATTGCAAAACGACTGACATACGTGAAGCAAATTACCGCTATGTCTGAAAGTAACTACAAAGTCAGATAAAGGTTTAAATAAACCTCTTATTTAAAAAGTACTTAGAACATAAGTGTACTATGTTCATTATGCTAGCAAAATCAACTACAGCTTGTGGTTATCTAATTAAACATGAACAGTTAAATTCAAACTAAAAATGTGGACCAGTAGTCAGAGACCACACAATTTAATTTTAATATAAGCTGGCTCAGTGATACATCGTAACACACTCGTGGTAAGGCAGTTATCGTCGTAACAAATTCAAATATCAGCTGCGCTAACGCAAAGGAGAATCATTACAAGTTATCAGAGTTGGTAGGAACTAATATAGCATGTAAGTGAAAGCCAGAAACAAATTCTGTCTTAGAACCCCAAAACCTTAGTTTAAAATCTACCTAAGTAATTTGCATTCTGGTGAGGAAGTGGAAATGGGAAAATACAGTAAAGGCTAAAATTATAAACAACTGCTTAATTTACATAATAATAACTGTACCTATCTTTGAAGAATAATTTTCTTTCTCTTTATATATTTGGTTTCTTTTTTCAATACATTCCCTCTTCATTTTAGAATATTTGGATTTAATTAAAGATTTCCGTTATTCTAAAAAACTAAATGCATTTAGAATGTATAGGAAAAGGTGCTAATTTTATTTCTTTAGTACAGTCAAAAGTCTTTAATCCGGACTCGTCGGGACTTCGGCGATTCCGGATTATAGATCATCAGTTTAAATCTGGTAAGATGGCATGCAGAAATTATAAAATTAAAATATGAAACCGTTAATTTATAAAATAATGAGCAATTATGATCTAAAGGGTATCAAAATTACCAAAAAAGAAGCCTAATATTTATTTGTTTACTTTATTAAACATTTCTTTCAACGCGCGGATGCGTAAAGCATACCTTACGCATAGCCGAAATTTAAAAATTGCAACCAGAAAACTATTTGATTTGTATTCGTGATATTTATAATGACGAGGAATTTGGTTTAAAAATCATATCAAAGACGGAGTACATCGAAATTAAATACTACATTTAGTAAGGAATTATAAGCACAATAAAATAAAAACATCTGCCCTGAAGATAAGATTAGTGCTGAGAGATCAACTTCCAGTTCGTTGCGTGCTCTGCAACGTTCCCCTACCCCCACGCAAGAGCAGCAAGTGAAATTGATAAACAGATTTCGGAATGATTAGAGAAACAAAGGATATGCCTTTATCCATTTTTTGCAGCAATTCTACTTTTTTGTTTGATGGACATCGAAACATGCTTTGTTTTCTAGATCCTTTGGACAGCTCTAGCATCGGAAATTCTATTTGACATAATCGAAAGTTCCAAGCTTACTTTTATAGAAAATTGCTCTAACAGTCTGCAAAAAATAATAAGCCGGATCCAATTCGAAGATTAAGGAACAACGCAATTATCAACATTAACTGAAGTGGATAATTAGATAATTTTAGTTTATACCGTCCGTTATACATTAAACGCGCACGCGAAAACGTATTCTGCACTTGCGCGCATGCATATGCGCAGTAATCAAGGTCTTACGCGCACGCGTAAAACGCTTGTGCGCATTTGCCAACGCGGCGCATGCGCAGAAAGTTTTTAGCTTTGAGGTCCGGATTATAGATCATTCCGGGTGTCCGAATTAACGACTTTTGACTGTAATATGAATATTCAGATTAATTATGAAATTATATATGGTAAGTGCTGGTTACAGAGCTGGTGTGGCAGAATTTTTAGAATTTAACGACACGACAAACAAAATCTAGAAACGGCAAAACTTTTAGAATTTAGAAATGCTCTAGGAACAGAATTCAGGATCCAAGATACTGTATCAAGAAGCATTTTTGATATTTCCATGCTTGTGTCTAATGAAAAATAGAGGGAAGATAAACAAAAAGACTTCTAGTATCAGAAATAAAACATTCAAGTATGCTTTCAATTTTCTTTTAAAAAGTTCCCAAATAATAAGAAATCACCACACACTTAATAATAAGAAATCAGCACCACACTGTAAAAAACATTCATTACGTGTTAATACCATGAAGACATTTTTCTGGAATCTTCTTGATTCATGGGACAAATCTTGTCTTCAAAATCCTTCTAAATTTTTCAAGTTGCAATATCTAAAATCCTAAAGAAAATTACTCCTTCCAATTCTGTAAGTGTAAAAAGCCAGAAATATGTTGAAAAAAAAAAAAATGAGAGAAAAGAAGTATAAAACTTATTTAATAGAGAAAACTAATGCATATTCCGAGACAATTACTTGGAAAAAACTCTTACCATGAAAAAATTAAAACGAAGATATTTTTAATTAATTGCATATCTATTTTGCTTTTGTTAAGAATTGTTTGGTACTTCAGATTCAAAATATTGTATAATAGGTCGCCAAAACAGAAAGTAACGCATTTTTATAATATGAGAGCAAAAAATAAAAATGTTTCCGCTTAATGTTATTTCTTGAACATATTCAAAATATTAGCATTATTTTAACGATTGAACAGTTGGAAATTTCTGGCACAAAACCTTACTAGTTTATCTTTGCCAAACAGTGAATACAAAATGTGTTAAAAGTTTCATATGGACAATTACTATACATTTTATGCAAGGTAAAAACAAGACTACAGTTTATGCTAAAAGTGGATATCCTTTAAAAATTGAAACAGCTTGTGTTCATGGCTTTTCCCTAATAAGTAGTTTAATTCTAAACATTTAAAATGATTTTGGCTAAGATATTTAAAACTGTGATATTCTACTAAAATATGGTAGACTGTCAGATCTTCATTACAGTTCGTGCAACGAGGATTCTTCTCTCCTTTCAACAAATATTCATGAGTTAGTCGACAATGGCTTATTCTCAACTGGATGATAACTTGTTCCCTTCTATTTGCCGTAGATGGCAGGCACTCAATTATGGGTTTAATATTTCTGAACTTGCTATTACTTTAGTCATCCCAATACCTCTTATTTTTACAATATGTATCCATGTTATAATGTTTTTAAAAAATATCAGGGAACGAACTAAAAATTTTCTATAGAAACATATCTCAAAATCGTCAAAATGTTGATAAGTCGGCAAATTTAGAACCATTTGATAAAAGAATTCAGATTCCAAAAGCAAAAAGTTCTTTAAGAGCTCTTGACTAGACAAGATGAAATAATTTCTAAATGCTTATGTTTCACATCTTACTCAGAAACTTTAGTATCTCACAGTTTATATTAGAAACAGGAACAAATTACCAAAAATTGATTCCGAAATACCTAAGGACTTTTACGGATCGTACAAACCCTGTTAAGAGTTTCTGCGCAAAAACAAGCAATTTGACCAGCAGGCATGACAGCAGATTTTCCAGTGCACAAAAATAAGTTTCCTTTTGGTCCCACTAAAAAAAAAAAAAAGACACTGAAGGTGCAGAAAGACTTGTATCATTATTCTGCTAAGTTTCAACTTTAAACAAATATGGTTGCTATAGTAAAAAAAAAAGGGGGGGCACACTTTTAAATTGTTGACAATTCTACAACTACTGCATGCAGATTAACTAAAGGCATAAAAACCTTCACCAGATAATAAGAACAACATAATTTAATCATTTTTAGCAAAAAAAAATGCATAATTTACCAACACAGAAGAATAAAAAAAAAACAACTGAGCTCACCGAACCAAGTAAAAAAAAGGGTGTCTGTGTATATACAGTACGAAGTCTTTAATCCGGACTCGTTGGGACTTTGGCGATTCCGGATTAGGGGTCTTTCCGGATTATAGTTCATCAATTTAAATCAGGTAAGATGGCATGCGGAAATTATAAAATTAAAAATATGAAACCGTAATTTATGAAATAAAGAACAATTATGATCTAAAGGGTATCAAAATTTGCCAAAAAAAAAGCTTAATATTTATTTGTTTACTTTATTAAACATTTCTTTCAATGTAAGTTGTTTTGTTTTATGTGATAATACTTTCTCTTTAATTCTATAAACAGACATAATTTCTTGTTCAGTTACGAAGTTCCGCTGTTCAAGTCCTATAATTGCTGTGTCGAGAATACTGACTAATTTGTCAATAAAAATTTTTTTGTTTTCAATAACCTCTGTGTCACTTTCTTCACTATAGGAAGCGAATTATAATGACGAGGAATTTGATTTAAATCATATCAAAGACAGGACACATCGAAATGAAATACTACATTTAGTAAGGAATTATAAGCCAAATAAAATAAAAACATCTGCCCTGAAGATAAGGATAGTGCTGACAGATCAACTTCCAATTCATTGTGTGCGTGGCGTCCCCTCCCCCGGACATCGAAACATACTTTCGCTTTGTAGATCCTTTGGGAGCTTCAGCATCGGAAATTCTATTTGACATAATCGAAAGTTCAAGCTTACTTTTATAAAATTGCTCTAACAGTCTGCAAAAAATACTAAGCCGGATCCAATTCGAAGATTAAGGAACAACAAAATCTGCAACATTAACTGAAATAGATAATTAGATAATTTTTGCTTATACCGTCCGCTATACATTAAATGTGCATGCGTAAATGTATTATGCGCATGCACACACGCACATGCGCAGCCGTAAAGGTCTTGCTTGCGTGCATGCGTCAACGCGACGTATGCGCAGAAAGTTTGTAGCTTTGAGGTCCGGATTATGGGTGTCCGAATTAACGACTTTTGACTGTATTATAGAATAGCATCATACAAAAAGTAACAGCATATATTATATATGCATTTTTAAGCATTCTAATAGCTCCACAGCGATACAATATCACTGCCCTAATGGGAAAAAATTTAACATTTCTATAAAATAGAGATTATATTATCTTACATCAATTTTTTACAGTTTTAAATATTAACCCAAATTTTTCTAGAAAATGTCAAATTTGTTGACAACCAGTATTTTAAATTTCTTACTAAAAATTAAAAGGAACAAATTAACATCAATATATGAAATCAAGTTTGGAACAAATTAACATCAATATATGGAATCAAGTTTGAAAATAAATTTGAAACGTTTTTCAAAAATTTAGGAATGAATCTTTTATTTTGCATATTTTTCAAGAATATGAATTAATATATATAAAAATGCACAGTAAAAATATATTTACGGGTGCCCCTTGAAAAAAACTGGCGTTTTTTGGCGGTACATGGATACCAAGTTTGTGCAATTCTTTGACTTGTTATTTTGTTTTTGTGTAGCTGCGATTTTTGATGGATACCGAGTTTGTGCAATTCTCTGACTTGTTATTTTGGCTTTGCATAGTGGTGATGTTTGCGTCAAAGATCGGCACTACACGGACATTTATACAATATAATTTATTTATATTTTTAAATACCTTATTTCCATTGTTCTAGGATTACAAACTTGCGTACACACTGCTGTAAAATTTTAAAAAGCAATCCTCTACAATCTCTGACAAAATTTTTAAATACCTGATTTCCATTCTTCTGGGATCCCAAACTTTACAATCTCTGAAGGAATTAATGTATTTTACATTAATTACTATGAGGGAAAACTGTTTCGCTTTATGAGCATATCAGTTGACAAATGGCCTTCAAGAGTCAATTAAGTTTACGAACTGAAGTTCCACTATACACTTATGAGAACTCTTCAAATCAGAATATCAGTCATCACCCAGACCTTCTAAAAAGTTCAGTTGACATTACAGTAGAAGTTCAGAAATCGGCAAACCTTGGGACCAGAGGTTGTGCGGATTTCAGGACAGAAAAGATAAAGCATAATAATATTCGGACTAAAAGTGCAAAATAAATAAGGCGTATTAGATACATTTAATTAAATTATTATATACATTATTGCTGTAATTTATTATATGCATTAAATTATTATTACATATACAAATCGATTATATTATTCATTGTATTATATGTACACAGCATCGAGGTTTCATCTCATGCAACGATTTCCGGATTCCGGTGTTAGAATCACTATTACTGTAAAATTTCAACAGCTTTATTTTATTTTTCCATATATTATACACAATCGTATCGCAATTCCATGCGATTCTGCTATAAAATGCACCTATCTCCCTCTTTTGCAGAATTTGCACATTTTGCATTACCGTGAATGCAACATGTTTACGTTTTTCAAGGTTGCAAGCAGTAAAATTATGAGTACGTTCCTTATCTGTTATGGTATTAAAAAGGGCTGAAATTTAAAATAATTCTTAATTTATCCACAAAATATCAGGATTATAAAAAAAAGGCAGCACTAAACAATCTAGTAAAATAACAAAGCTCAGAAAATACAACGTGAACTTGAAAGAAGAGTTGAGTGAATTGTGTACTTTCTTACCTCGATGCAGAAATTAGAGGGAAAAAAACTTTTATCTTATTTTTTAAACTTTTTTTATGTCAATAATTTGGTATTTCCATTATGACTCATTATTATTCGCTAAGTATTTTTTCTTCAATATTTCGTACTCAATGTTCCGGTTTCCGGAACCTATAAACTGAATGTTTATATTTTGAGAGGCAACACGGATTTTCGGTATTTGACTGTATTTACTGTGTGTGCTCTGCGAAAATATTTCTATCAAGATTTAAAAAAATCAGCTTTTCTCAAGACGGAGCTTCCTTTCCGCTACATTCTTTTCCATTCATACAGTACTGGAAGAATCCATTAAAACTCAAGTTTTTCAAAGTAATGTCATGCTTTTTCAATTTGATACAGTTTCCAAATAAACCATCTTGACATTAAACTCAACTTTATACAATATAAAATTTGTAACTTTATGCAATACCTGAATCTTACATTAATTTATTTACATTAATTTTATATTAATAATTTTACATTAATGTAAAACAAAATTTGAGAAAGCTAATGAGTGTACATTTTACAAATCTGAAATTCCAGACCATAAAAAACATCTAAACTTTTATTTATATACACACTTTTAAATATAATAAATTTAATAATTAATGAGCATACACAGATACCGTTTGTACCATTAAGTAAAACAAACTCAAATATAATACTAATTGATAAAACAATGGTTGTATGATAATAAAAAATTAAATATCTATTAAAGACATGCTGCACTAGGGAGGTTGGAATGAAATTTTCCCAATTTAAGTTCTACTATTAGTTTACTTTAATTGCATTTACGGAAAATTCCTTTATTAATGAAAATAAAGTAATTCTTTTTCACACAATTTAAATTTTCAAGGGCAGAGTTAAATTTATAATGCATGCAAAAGAGTGCATGCCGGTACAACCTCCTGCCTGAATTTTATTTTGGATTATTTTTCCACACACCCGTCAGGATTCGTTATGAATTACTACACGATATTTGTACTTTCAGCTTTTGAACCATCATTACAAAATATTAGACATATTCTTAATATTTAAAAAATTAAAACTCTTACTATGAGGATGCGAAGAAGCAATCTTCCATAAACACAACAGTTAGGCTTACCCCAGAAGAAAAACCACGTGTTTCAACAGTTCACATAGTAAGGAACACGTAATTTTATAACAATTCACTTATTTCTGCATGCGAATTTCAGAAGTAACAGAAATACACATTTGAACTGCAAAGAAAGCCACTTATGTAACATTATGCGTATTCCAGTACACTTTACATTACAGCTAGGAACATACCAAAAAAAAAAATTCTCTTTCGCTTCTCTGGTAGTAACAGGCTTCAAACAGAATACAAACTCATTAAATCAAAACTACAGGCTACAAACCTCAAAACAAAACAAGTCTGTTTTGATGACATCATCTGAAACATCCGGGTTTTGGCTGTCAGCCATTAACGCGCAAGCGCACACAGCTATCGGCTGCTAAGCAGATGACAACGCTATGCTGCCTAAAAGCTTTTTTCCATTTATAAAAAAAGAAAAAATTAACTTTTTTTTAATAACTTACACAAGTAACGATTGCATGGCCGAGACTTAAAATTCGGCTTCGAAAATCAAAATATAAGAATTTTATGCGACGCATTTTAAATTGTAAATTGTTATAAAAATAAATAAAAAATTATTGTAATTAAAAACCATCTCTGTTATGAATCATCGCATCATTAAAGTAAAATTTCTCATAAATAAATAAAAATAGTAATTAGGCATATAAAAAAACGTACGATATAAAATTATTTCTTTTGCAACATATATAAATTAATAAAAGGTATCCTTGTCCAGAGATATTTATTAGCAAAATGAATTAATCTTTCACCCACCAGGAGCCAAAAACACTAGAAATTTGACCTAGGTTTAAATCATGGAAACAGGCTGGCTATATGGGAGTTTTCATTATTTATCCCATATGCAATATGGATACAAGCCAGTGTTCCTAGAAAATTCTCTACAAATATCTCCCCCTTAATCAATTAACCTAACCTAATCTATTATTCCTTTTTTAGCTAAAAAAAAGGTTCCTCCCAATCTCCCTTCAATTGCCTTGCCTTAATCAATTAACCTAATTTAATCTCCCTTCAATTGCCTTGCCTTAATCAATTAAACTAATTTAATCTAATATTTCTTTACTTAAAAAAGGGCTCTTCCTCAATCTAAGTTTTCACAGTTTAATACATATTAAGAAAAAATGTTACATACAAGCTTGGCACAAAAATGTGAATTCTGCATGCCCCAGAGTCATCCACACACATACATAAATTATCTAATTATCATGGCAATTTCAATTTCTTATATATTTTTGAGGAAACATACAATAATTTTAATCAATATGAACATTCGAATATTGTGTATATTTTTACTCCTTTGTTTCACACAGCTTTTCAGAAATTCTTGAATATTTTAGTAATATAGTTTCATTGTTTTATATTCTCACTGTACTTTTTTTTTATTTTAAACCATTATCAATAATTGAATATTAATGTTAATATGTTAAAAACAATTTTTGTTCAAGTAAACCATTGTGTTTTCACAGTTACTTTTTTTTTGCAACCAATTCTAACACTTTTGAGCCTCTTAATTTAAAATACAAAGAATTTTTGGTTAATGTAACATTTGTATTATTATATACAACACTTTTTCAATTAAAATATATTTAAATATAATAGATTCACTAAAATGTATATATTTTTCATGTTCTAAAAATTCACACATTTATTTTTGTTGGTAGAATCTCATACTGGCTGTTAAGGGTAGTTTAATTTCTTTCCTTTCTCAGGCCCTGTATTTACAAATTAAAGCAAATCCACTCAGAACCAGCATGCATACAGTTTGCGAATACCGGCATTTATGGTTCCAAACATCTTGAATCGCTGGAAACATTTTCGCACCGATTTTTTTTGCTATGTCCAATTAAAATTAAAATAATTTAATAAAATAACGTTAATTTGGTACAACTCTAATATATGCCCTAATTTCACCTAATGTGGCGATATGTGTTCTGCACTGGTTTTTGGCGCAATTGCGTGTTCTATGGCAACCCTGTTGACGTTGAAAAATCTTTCGCTGGAGCTCGTTGGTTCGCCTCTGTGTCTGAGAAGATGGGAGGGAAAGATAAAATGGTAGAAGGTGTTGAATTGAAGTTCGGCAAAAGGAAATATTATTGTGGCCCTCCTGTTGAGGGGTAGCGGGTATTTGGAGAAGTGTGGAAAGAAGGTCTGGGAGATTATTTTTAATGGCTATGCATGACAGAAGTAGGGATTTGTGATTTTTATTTGTTTGTGAACCATAGTATGAATTTTCTGGATAGTGTGTCTAACTGTCATGTAAATACGATAGTGATTACGTGGCGGTATGAAATTGGTATTTCTGCTGCTCGAAAAACGCATTAATTCATGGTAAGTGCATTTTATTTTATCCTTGGTTCTTATTTTGTAGAATGTTATGTTCATTGGTTCTTTAGTATGAATTTCTGTCGTTACTGTTGTTTTTTTAAATTGTTTGAAATTTATTTTAGTTTATTTTGTTGTTTAGTGTCTGGACTGTACAATTCGTAGATGTTTTTTAAAGTTGAAACAGAACGCTGTGTACATGGTATTATTTGAAATTTATTGTTGTTATTTTATCAAAGCGAAGAGTGCGTAGATCGTAGATTCCTTCCTTGCCTAAATTGTGCAATTCGTAGAATTTTTTTAAAGTTTAAACAGGATGCTGTGTACATGGTATTCTTTGAAATTTATTGTTGTTCTGTTAATTTATTAAAGCGAGGTCTGCGTAGTTTGTAGATTCGTTCGTTGCCTACATTGTGCAATTCGTAGATGTTTTTTAAGTTAAAACATGTCGCTGTGTACATGGATTCTTGTCAAATATTTTTGGTTAGAAACTTTACGTTTTTGCTATCTAAATTTTTTGTTTTTGTTTCAGATTTTTAGTTAAATTGTGTGTTCAAAACGTAGTTTTTGTATGTGCGAAAACCGCGTTTTTGGAGACATTTTAGGCTAAAAGTTCAAAATGTAGACAAAAAATTTAGATAGTAATATGGCAGCGTAAAGTTTCTCGCCAAAAATATTTGGCGACTTGAGGGCGCATATCAGAGTAGTTCCGTTAATTTTAACAAAAGTGTTTAAAATATATTTTACCAATTAATGTTGTGTTTTGAACATTTTTATTAATTTTTACCAGTATTAGGCTTTGGTAATGAAAAAGATATTTCCTGCCAGCAGAAAACCATCTCTACTCAACACAGCATCCATAAAATGCCAATTTTAACTGTGGAAATAAGAAAAAGGTCTCAATGTGTCTATTCAGGTAAAATACAGAACTCAGAGATCCATATTTTGTTAAAATTCTAAATAAAAATTCACAGATGACTGCAAGAAAGTGCATTAACAAGTTATGGGTTATGCATTAACATAATCCATGAATTATCTAGCCACAGTTCAGGTTATATTCTATAAACTACTTCACGCAAATGTCACAAAACTCTCAAATAATATTCTTGATTAAAAGTTTGGCCAGATGATAAAAATTCATAATATATAAAGATAGCCAAAAAAGTCAACATTATCTTGAGTTTTTGACCGATTTTTACATGGTCATTTAAATTCTTGCTTCAAGCAGAATTCAATTGATGCTAAGTTGTTTCTATATCAAAAGAATAGGGCCATGTTTCACCACTCATAATGCATTTTAAGAAATCACCTTCAGAAAATTCTTTTTTGGGAAACTTGAACACCTTTTTAATTTTTCTTCTTTGACATCAACATTTCTGGAACAATGAAAGAAATGACGAGCTACAAGATCTTTCAGTGTTGCTTCACAGGATGCAAATGATATGGGAACTTGTTAAAAACTTCTGTAATTATTAAACAAGGATTCCCAAGCACGCAATCTTTGACATTTTGCACAGTAATTGATGTGGATGATCTATCATGGTTCATCTTTGATGAATTTCCTGCCTTCCTTAAATATACTCAAAAATTTCACTTCTAATAAAGTGTTGTCCTCAAGATTCACTAAGCAGAAATTCCAAAACAAAATTGGTACTTTCTGATTATGCCCCCCATCATCAAAATACATGTAAAAGTACTGATGACACAACACACCAAACTCCCTGCCCCCCCCATCATCAAAATACGTGTAAAAGTACTGATGACACAACACACCAAACTCCCAATACAGAATTTATGTGATAATGCATAGCATCTCCCTAGATGACTTTCTACTTTTCCAGACATTTTTGCCAGCGTGATTATAATTAATGATGATTATGCAATTCCTGTGGCTGTTTCAGTTTCAACATAGCTGTGAACGACACACTGCAGTTTTTGTTGGAATCTTGGATTGTTTTCTGCGAGCATAGAATGTAATCTGGCTCAATTAAAGGTATCATGGGCCGTTTTTTCCTTCTTATTTTAGGATTTTGGTGGTGAGCTTATGCAATTCTCCAATCTCTTTTCTTCTGTGCTGTGTATTTGGAAACACATGTGCAAAAAATTGAGAAGTGTGTAAGCATTGCATAAATAGAGAAGAATGTAAAAAGAGCAAGTAACATTGGACACACAGTTAAAACATATGCAAAATATACTTAAAAGTTTCTCTCCCTGGTCATGAACGAGTTAGCAAATTTTTGATGGAGGTAAAGATAATCAAAAAGTACCACAAATTTAATGTATGTTCTTTGCTTTAATAGCAAGCAATAAAAGATAAACCAAATACAGTTTGTTTGCCAGATATTGAAAGCCATTAAGTTCTTAAAACATTGCTACATATCTTGCAAAAATATATTTGAAGTTGACATTCCGGTACTTCTTGATCATAGTAAAAGATGAATGTTGCATATGCAGTTTTAAATTAATTAGTTGAAATATTTCAAGTTAGCATTCTTTATATGAATTTCACCAATCAATACAATGCATAATTCTGTTCTTAAAAACCCTATTCCTAATAAGAATTCTTGTTAAAGAAATCTATAACAGTTCTTGTTCCTGCACCTTCATACACACAGGTCAAAAAACACATTAAAATTTTGCATTTCGGAATATGCAACTTACGTTCGGAGAAAATGAACTGAACAGCTCATCATTCATAAAAATCAAATAATTAACTTAAAAGTTAATATATTGGCATTATGTTTCTGATCCGCAAAGGATTAATTCAGTTTTAATTCTGCCTAAATCAAAAAAAAAATTCCTTAGTGGATTAGGTTACGTTTAGGCAGTAGTTTACAAACCTTTTGAC